AAAATAAAACAAAAAATCTTGATTGTAAAATTTTACTTTTGATATATTTCTTCAAATGCATTACTGTAAAAGGATTTTGGGCATTGCCAATTATACAGCGCATCATTGTCTTCATCATTAGTGCAGCCTTCACATTAGCCACTTCAGTACTAATTAGAGTGCCCTCCCCTCTGTGATCAGACTCAGGTAAATATTTGCACCCAGTGATGTACTAATCATCCTGTGATTTGGGATGCAGACAAAGAGCTGTTCATTGGTGCCCCTCCACCCCCAAACTTCCTTTTTCTCCACATGATCAGTCCTCCTGCTTTCTCCATTCTGTATGCTCGTTTTCCTCCTCCACAGTATCTCTGTCTTTCTTACTCTGTGTCCTCTCACTCTATTTTCTCTCAGTGCATTTGGCCTTGCTCTTTTGCTCTTACTCTCCGTGCCCTCCTTCTTATTCTCTCTTACATTTTTCTGATTCGTACAGCATCTATCTGCCCTGCCTCTCCCTAATAGTCTCGCTCTACCTGTTTTTTCTTCTCCTGTTTACTCTTGTTTTTTTCCCTTTTTCAGTTCTTCCTTCCACGCTCTCTCTCTACTCACTGGGCAGCGTGCCAGCCCCTCTTCCTTGGCACTGAACCAACTTTTCTACTCCACGCCTCTTCCTCCCACTACCCTCCCTTCTTCTATCCCCCTTGCCTCTGATTGATGGCCCCACTATTCTGAAACGAGAGGAAGGGAAAGAAAGAAAAAAAAGAAGGAAAGAATAGCTACAAAGCACAAAGGCATACACAAAAACAGAGTCACAGCCTTGTGCTAAAAATCTACACCTAACTATGTGCTTGGAAGCAAACATAAACAGTTGTGCACATATCTCTACTGCAAGGGCGCACAGAAAAATCCACCAAAACATAGCAGGCACCCTCCCAGCATAAAACCTACAGGCACATGGAAACTTCCTCTTACACATAAACACAGAAAGACAACAATTTAACGTTCAGCAAATAATCAACACATTAGCAAATCAGCTTTTCAGTTTGTATTCTAGCTGCATAATGTTCTTAACTTTGGGCATTTCTATGTGAGAAAGTTGTTTTCCACAGCTTCAGTTGGATTCACATTTTGCCAGCTCTCCAGGCTGTATGCACCAACACTATTTGTCCTCCAACTTCATTTCTACAATGCAAAGAGCTAATGAATAGCAAGAGTGTCTGAAGTGAGATTAAGGAGGAAAGCATTTCAGTATCATGCAAAAGAATAAAAGATTAATCCAATCAAAGTGATATACGATGGTAATATGAACAGTAAACTGCTAACAGAACTGAAAGTGATACTCAGGGATGGCCCAAGCCTCCATCGGTCTCAGAGCAAAATTTGATTTTGGGGCGCTCTATTTCTGCCAACAATGTTGCTGGATTGCTGCAATCAACTGTTTTGTTTTAAGGTATTTCACACACACATATGCTATACACAAATTGCAGTTCTGGGAGAGTTTATATAATGAAAACAAAAGGTTCCCTATGATAATTTAAACTTAAAGGTATAGTGGACGATGTTCTATTTCCAGGTGGGTCATCATAACAAGTGGTCCTCCTTATTGTCAATCATTCTGGTGATATGTTTACGTAAGGCCGTCCTACGTGCTCGCCCCAATTTTTACTTACCGGTGGTGGAAATATTGCAAATTTTTATTTGAGATGTAAGCTTGTATGAGCGATGTAAACAGCAACTTTTAAACAGAGCAGAGAAATGGGCTTGTGCATGCTCTCTGACACGTTTAACCCTATAGGGTTGTGGATATGCCTTTTTTTAAGTGTGAAATCCTCCAACATACCTTTAATAGTTATTTCTTAAAAAGTGTAAAAAGTAACTACATAGAAAAGTTCTCTTTGAATACATACACTGGCTTTACCCAAACATATGATTTCTTTATGTTAAACTATTCTTAAACACTCTGCTCATTCCTTACAGTAAAAGTTGCTCTACCCAGCTTCTCTGTTTGCTAATTCCTTGATAATATCACAGGATTATTTTTTTCCATATATTAGCAATTAATATTACATATAAGTGATAAGTAATGCATCTAGATGAAATTTTATCATGCAACTGAGAGTTTTTGTTACTATATTTTTGAAGAAATTAATGGTGTTCACTGGCCCCTTGGAGCCCCTAGTTGCCTTGGGGCACTATGCTGTTGTGAAACTTGCACACATGGGTGAGCACAGCTAATGTACTTAACGCTACTTGAAAGCTGCAGGTATGTCACAGTAAAGAATATTCTCTCTGCACTATTCACGTTCATTGTCATTTTTATTTTTACAACTAAACACAATGAGAAAAGCTAATTTACGCTAGCATACTTCTGCACCTTGGTGTCTCTCATAAAGATTATGGAAAAACAGCAATCTATAATAATAAATAATTAATAAATAATTGAACTTTATTGATCTCACACTGGAGAAATTTACCTCTGCATTTAACCCATGCCGTTGGGAAGCAGTGGGCTGCCATCATGGGGCGCCCGGGGAGCAGTGTGGGGTTAAGGGTGTTGCTCAGAGACCCAGAGTGGGGTGGGGGGGTGGCTAGAACTAAGACCTCAGGATTCCAAGCTCTATGCCCACTCCACATAATTAATGTAACTTTTAAAAGAGAAGAAGAAATATTAAACTATTAGTATGAACTGTCGTGGTGATGATGTTTTATCAACAAACAGTAATAGAAAATATAATTAGTGGTAAAAAAAATTTGGTTTCAAAACTGTGTATTGGATGGTTTTTATTTCATTAAGCAATGAACTTGATTTGCAAACAGGATAGTGATTTTTATATACACACCTACAAAACCTAGCAAATAAAAAAGCAAATACAGTCCAAAGATACTCAGAGTTGCTCTGTCACAGTGAAAAGCTATTAAACCAAAAAAAACAATTCTTTGGGAATTTAATTAGTGCTTCTCTTCATCAACTCATCTTTCATTTTCTTCTGCCAGGTATTTTATTTCCAAATTTATTTCTATACATTTTTTAAAAGATTTTGTCCAACATTATTCACTCTCTCCCCGTCTCTATGGCCCATTATTCACACATGAAATCTGTTTTAGACAATTGGTCCCGAAGAGTTTGAACAGAAACACAAAGTGCAGATGCCACAACATGCACAGGGTTGGACTGCATACACCACTGATCACAGAGAGGGCAAACACACACAAGCAAACACATTTAACATGCAGCGACCTCTCAAAAAGCCCGCTCTAGTTGACCCACATCTGTGCTATGCTCTTAATCTCTTTCTTCAAACAAAATTAGGAAAAAAAACAACAACATCCAACTGAAACCTCAGGATTATGGATGTGGAGCGGCTGGTGAGATAAAAAAAAAAAGTGTGGTAGAGAAGACAAGAAAAAAAAAGAGTTTGACTGAGAAGAATAGCCAAAAAAGAGAGAAGCAAAATCCCTTTATGAAGGAAAGCAGTGAGTTGAAAATAAAGGCATGTCTCCTGCATGTGCCGAGGATTCAGGTCACAGCTTCAGCCAACATATCCATGCTTCCAAACACACTCACACCTGCGTACAAAAACACATGCATAAAAATGAAAGACAGATCTGGCTAATTAGGCAGGCAGTTGGATAAACACCTGCACTAGTTTTTTTTCTATTTTTTTTGTAAGTAGAATCGTGATTTTCACCTGCTGTACTCTATCAATTGCGCTTAGTCTCAAATTTCTTTCTAAATACATATCATTTTTATTTTATCTTTTTTTCCCCCTATATTCTGGTAATCCATAGTCTGCTATTTCTCCAGCTCAACAGGAGCACACAAACGTACCCTCACACACATCCTCATATGTGTGGTGGTGAAATGAAAGGAGGGAACAGGAAGGAAGGACAGCCAGCTGCTTCATCTGTCCTCTGCAGTCCACAGGGGAAACAATCTGGCTGTGGAGCATCCTGACTGTCAAACACGGCTTCCTTTAATATCCTGCCTAAACTCTGCAACCCAAACTAACTATAGTTGATGCATACTGTGGAGCTTTATGAATGGATACAAAGAAGATATAAATATTATCTCCGTTTATTTAATCTTAAAGTGTTCTTAATTCATTAATAACACTGACTTTTTAACATGTTTTTTTTTTTTTTTTTTTTTTTTGCAGTGACTTGATTTATTTCCTAAATTTGGTTTCAATAAATACCAAACGTTACAACATTTACAGCCTGGCTGATTTGCAAAGTCTCCCTGCAGCAAATTGGGCTTATCTTCACATTAAAACAAATAATCTAAGTAAAAGGTTTAGAAACCAAATCCCCTGTAAATTCCCTGTTGCAACACATCTAACTTAAAAGAATGGGTCAATAGCAGGTTTCTAGGAAGAACCTTTGAGATCAGTGTTGATGTATGATCTTTTTTTCCCCAGCTTTTATTGTCATTACATTGTTACAAGTACAGAGCATAGAAACTAACTCTCTGCATTTAACCCATCCCCATGGGGAGCAATGGGCTGCCACTGTGCGGCGCCCAGGGAGCAGTGTGGGGTTAAAGGTCATGCTCAGAGACCAGTCTATGGGAGTGGGGCTCAAACTCAGAACCTCAGGATTCCAAGCTCTGAGCCCTAACCAATAGGCCACCACTCCCCTGGAATAAACGTGTTGTTTATGGCACAGAACGGAGCTGAACCTAAAACCAGCTAACGTTATAGGTTTGTTAAAGCAAATAGTTCTTGTGTGTCAGAATGAGCTGAGACATATGTTGATTCATTCAGATAGTCTGCATGAGAACCACCACAATGCTAACCTGACAACAGCCAGATGCATGTCTAGCTCCGCCTAGCTTCACTCACATACATCTGGGACATCGCTCATTGAAAGTGATTTCCCCAACCAAATTTATGGTCCGGCCAATCAGGACGCAGGGCGGGTGTTTCCTGGATGTGACGTAGTGGAATAAAAATAAGTCTGCTGTGCACAATGTTGCCTTTTATCCGCACATTTTCATGGCACAAACGACATTGATCATTTACCGACATTGCGCTGATTCCACTGTTGCCATATCCAAGATGTCGGCTGTTCTGTTTTGTTTTACGGGTTAGCTTCGGTGTGCGTGGCTGAAATAGCATGTCGATAAAGATGACAGACAAGTGGCTTATCCAATCATATGCAAGGAGTTTTGATAAGGCCCAGCCTTCAGTAAAGGCAATTCCTATGGCGGTGTCCCAGATGTATGTGAGTGGAGCTAGGCGGAGCTAGACATGCATCTGGCTGTTGTCAGGTTACCCAAATGCTCAGTCAGAGTGGAAATTCCATTAACATCACTTTACACACTGTTGAGATGAATGCTGCAAGTTGCAAACCATTACAATCCAGTTCAAATTGCATGAGGAAGGCTATTTTTAATCAAATACAGCATGCATGCTACTTCTGAGACACATCTGAAGCATGTAGAATAGTGGGGCCATGAGGACCAAATGTTGAGGAGCAAACCTGAATAAAATTGATTTATTTGGAGTTTAGTAAAACTGTTTCAGGTCGAGACTACCGCAAATCTAGATAAAACCTTTGCAAAAGTTTTTTTCAGCAATAGCCATGGTTTTTACTTATTTTTTATTGGAAAAAGAAAAAGACAGTTTGCTGCGGGACACATACTGTGGCGAATCATACTTAAGGAAAGGAACTTTACTTATAACTGACTACTTGTTAAGACACTTTCTTCTACTCCTTACACAAGATCATTTAGGATAATTCTTTTTCTCTTTCTCTTAGGATAATTTTTTTTGAAAGAGTCAGGCAAACCAGGCTTGTAATCTGTAAGTTCCTGATCCCTTTTTGTTTTTAACTTTAAATGTACTTAATTTATTTTAATCTCTGTGCTCTGCTAGATAAATCTATAAATATCTAAGTAAATGTATCTGATACAGGTAGCACCTAGGCTGACTACATCTTCAACCAAAAAAAAAGTGGAACTACTAGGATGCTTATGAAGGACAGTGCAGGACAAACACAGCTTTTTCAGCTGCGCACTTCTTCTGTAACTTATTTTTGAAATGTTTTACATTGCATTCTCCTTGCATGAAGTTAAAAAACAACTTCAGCAAACTTCACAAAAAGCTCTGTTAGTTTTGCCTTTCACTGACCTCGCCCAGTTATAAAGCATTCCACAGTCTTTATTGAAGCTGCGTTCTCTTTTCTTTAAATGTAAATTCCATCGTATTTTGTAAATCAATCATATTTTCAAGACAATAAAAGTAGACCTTTGTTAAAATGTCTGTAAATAAATCTTTAAAGGTACATTAACATTGCTGAATGTTCGTTTGACATTTATTGACAAGAAGTATGTTTTATAAAGATCAGAACATTGTTCTTTGATACCCTCACCAGAGACTCATATTTATGTTTTTAATATCTTATCGTCTTTTTTCCTTAAGTGTTATTTTAATATTGTGTTTTTTAGCAGAAAATTAAACACCTCTGAAATTATTATTTCTAGCTTATCTCACAAAACATATACTTTTAGGGCAGCATCAATTTCACCAATTTGGTGATACTAAAAAAATCCTGAAAAAGTTTTTTTTTTTTCCAGTAAATTTATTCATTGTTTTATTCTTAACATGTATTTTAACTGACAGGCAAAACAAAAGTACATAAAAAAACAATTCCTTTGAATTTTTCAACTACATGAACCCAGCTTTCAACCACACCAAACTGGCTTTATTATCCTACATTAGAAAATCCTCCCACAAAACTAAAATTACTGTCAAAGCTCAGTACTACGCCATATTCAAAGCATGTGTCAAAAAGTCAATCATGTTGGCTTAATTACCACCTTTAAGTTTGAGATGTTGATTTCTAAACAAACCCTGTATACATCCCAACACACATAACAGTAATTATTATGACTTAGTAATAAAAAGCCCACAAGCTGAAGTACAGGACAAGAAGTTTAGTTTCTCCTGCAGAGAATAGACTGATAAGGAAAAGGAAAGCTAGGAAATGCAAGATTAGTTTATTGAGTTCATTCTCTAATATTTTGTTTAAATAAAGATGAACACAGTTTATCATGTATTGGCTGTGGTTAAATAATACTAAAGGCGCAAGCTCTCTAGCTAAAGTTCTATTCTTCTACATAGGACCCCCCCACTCTCACGCCATGTTTGATACTTTTTTCTAATAACCTGATGCTGAAAATACTTCCAGCCTAACTCTTTTCCCCAAGCTTAAATCCAGACTACATTCACAATTCATTAAACAAAATACTGTCAATCCTCAATGCAGTCTCTCACCAGAAGAGACAAGTTTTTTTTAGCACTCAAAAGGAAATATTATAAACGATCCGGAAGGCTTTTAGAAAGTGGGTAAATAGAGTCAGGATGAGAATCTGCAGCTGCACACTGTTTAAAATGAAATGAGTGTTGTGTGGACATAAATGCGTCGTTGATTTTTGAGGTCAAAGGAGAAGATTAAAGAAGACAGTAAAAAAAAACAGCAGCTCAAATAGTCACTTGTTAGAACTATGGTAGATAGAATGCCATCTCCTTGTAGCACATGGGTCAGAGCAGCAGAGGATCCCACAGTGGCTGACCCTGCCAGCTAAAAACAGGAAGCCTAACTGAACAATATCAGATTAAAACTGTCCCCTGCTTCAATAAGACACAATGTCATCTGTGAGATTCTGATTCTACAGGCAGAAATTGAATAAAAAAAGTTTTAAAGCATAGATGGTTTAATGGTTGTCAACATGTCAAGTGCTGGACACCTTACTTAAAAGAGTATGGATACAAAAACCTCTACGGTGTCAATTTGACACCATAAACAACTTCCAAAAAAGAAAAAGTAACTGGATTATTAAATCAGTAACTGCACTTTTAAATTAACTAATTACTGTCATGCATATAACACAAATGTCAATAAAATTGGGCCGTATAGTAAAATAAAACTTTTAGTTCTGCACATTCCTCTGTAGATTAATTCTTTATTTGTGGCAATAATAAGAAAACTAAATGTACAGTCTAAAATAATGTCCAGTTTAGGAATGCCATCTTTTAATCAGGATGGGTCTCTGTCTTCTCCGTGCTTCTCTGTTGGGGTTGTTGTGCACACTATGCCAACTGGCATCACACCAGTGCTGTCCTGCAGCAGAGTGCTCACGAGAAAGTTTGCCTTCATGCTCATAAAAAAAAAGGACTATCCTGTTTTCTGAAAGAATAAAGCTGTTAGTAGCTCTGTTGTTCTCTGATGCCCATATTGCCAATGCTGCTTGCCTTGAATCCTGAGTTTTAAAATACAGCATTTGGATGGTTTCTAACACAAATAAACTAGGAGGATTTTCTTTGACATCAAGTCGTGTTATGTCTCTGAAGTGTGAGTCACGTTTGATGCAGTCCTGTTGAGTATGCAATACTGTACACTGGAGAAGAATAGATTTAAAGTGTACCTGTGTTTTAGAAGGGTATCTTACTTTGCTGTTATGTCATGTTGGTGCGTATATGTAGTTACATGGTGTGTGAAAGCTGTGTTGCTTGTGATTAAATGTATAGGAAAGTGATAAGAGAGTGCAATTATCTTTTGCCATAGAGCCTTTCAACAGCAATGAAATGAAAGACTGACGCAATAGTGTGACAAAGATATTAGCATTATTTAAACATAGCAGAATAGCATTGTTGCTATGTCCATATATTTTATGATCCAGGTGTACCCATTTCCTCATAGCAACTTCCAGCAGGTTAATGCATCATTTGACACAACTTCAAATGATCCTAAACTGTTTCAGCTCTCCAAAGAGTTTGTTGCACTCCACTGCTCTCCATGTTCATCAGAGCTCAATCCCTTGGATGTGTTGCAGTGGGAGCATTAGAGTTTTGCAGGACTAATATCTGGACTAACAACTGCTGCCCAAATACAAAAGCAATTAATGCATTTCCAGAGGTAAAAGGAAAAAGCTCAGTTCTAGAAGTGTGTAGCTTAAAACACTTCTGGAGAGCAGATATACCTAAAAAGTGGGTATATGTGGACCATTCTCGTTCACAAGAATGTCCCAGTGTGTATTTTATATAATCAAAAACAAAAATATGGAAGTCTTGATTATGCCTTTAACAAAAAACAAACGTGTTATAAATAGTTTTATACATGATTGGCCAGGTCATCTGCTGAAAATGACGGTACATTTCAACTTTTAAAAACCCAAACACTATTAAGGAAGATTGAAAGAATAAAAGAAAAAAAACTAATTATATATACTAATTATTCTGCTATCTTTCCCTGGCCGGTATCCCGATTCCTCCAAATTGTTGAGTTTTAGCCTCCTTCTATTTCCTGCCTTCATATTTTCTCAGATTGCATTTATTTGCTGATAGCTGTCAGAGGACACATGCATCCCACCCTGCCACCATCCTATCATCCTGCTGCATTAATTATCTGGCTACACAAAAGCTTCAATCTAATCAGCACACACCTCACAGCAACAACACATTATCACATCTGTAAACTCTCCTGCTCCAGCTGCTGTGAGCCACAGTGCATGGCTGAATTATAAAGCCAATGAATGTACATGTGGTGCATATGCACATTACCAGGGGTGCAGGGAATATCCACTACAGCCCCAGAAGTGCTATATCAATGAATATAGAACAAAGACATGTAGCAGTGAAACGTCTTTATAGCCCATCTCACTGCTTATGGGGATTCAGCAAGGATATATGAATTTATGATATGATAATGGAAGTGAACCAAGTCAGATAATGTGATGTGTGTCTCTGCAGGTCACCGTATCCATAAAGCTTAGAAAAGAATGGAGGAGATGCTATCTTTCTTGAGCCTTTGTACTGTTTGGATACAATCATCACAAACAGACAGGGACAAAGAGAAGAGGAAAGTGAAACAGAGAAAGAAGGGCTGGAGATAAAGAGCATGGGTGGAAATTTAAAGAGCAAAACAGTGAAGAGAGTGAGTTGGAGAGAGAAAATAATCAAAAGCAGCTGAAAGGAAGGATAGGAAGGCGAGAGACGACTGTTACAGCTCAATTAATAGCGAGACA